AATCATGGTCATTTGGAGAGGGAGAGATTTGAATGTGGTTTTTATAAGAAATCTCAAATATTTCTTGCAAACCTTTGTGATTAGTTCCTTTCACACATCTGATGATAAAGTTCTAAATGATAGTGTTTAGTATGAGACATTGGGTTTTTCTAACCTCACTCTTCCCCCAATGGCAATAAACGTCACCTCTTATCTCAAATGATTATGGCTATAAAAGCCTATATTTCTGGGAAAAACCTCAAATGTTTACTTCAGTTCATCTGCTCAAGGCCTAGCTTCCTCCCACTCTCTGCTGAGTCTAAAAGCCTAAGATTAAAGAGTGTTCAATATTAAGAAACTCAGTTATTTATCTTATTAGCAGATCAAGGGGAAAATCAAATTGTTATTTCTATAGATCCTGAAAAAGAATTTGATTTAAAAATCCATTTTGATTTAGAGATAAATACCCTAAATAAAAATAAAAGCTTATATAAATGTCTAATCACTATGCCATACGCCTATAACTAATATAAAATTATATTGAATGTCAACTGTAATTGAAAAAATTAAAAAATTTAAAAATTAAAACAAGATTTTGTATTCTGCATTCTCCATTATTTTTTTAAAAAGCTATTTTCTTGAGAGAGAAAAATTGGCTTAGGTGGGAGAGGCTCTGTTCATCCCTCTAGCGACCAAATCAAAGTTGTGACAAAAAGAGCAAACAGCAAGGAAAATCACCTTGGATCTAGATGAACAAGCCCAACAATTAGGGAGAAATCCAAGAAATCACCCTGCAAACCCTGCAATGGGAGGAGGTAGGTCAGAGAGATGACGCGAGGCTGCCTGGTCCAGAGCAGCTGAGTGGGACAGAGGCCATAGCAGTGGCAGCCGGCAGCTGCAGACATCTCTTAAAGGGGCCGTATCCATGACTGGACTTTTGTGGTGACGGACCTGCTCGCTCTGAGCACCAGTGGCAGGACTTACAGGGGGACACTGAGTTGTTGCAGTGAGGGCCGAGGCGAGACTCTTTCTGTATAGAAGTGCCGAAGGTATCCATTGTTCCTCTGTTGAGCCCTTCCCCCTCCCAGCATGCAGATTCAGTGCCATTATAGCTGAGACATCATCAAACTGGATAACAGAGGTCACTCCACCCAGAGGATTCCCTGAAACTACGCCTGCCCCAACTCGTGGCTCCATCCAAGCCATATCCAGGTGTATCCTCAGCAAGTCAGGTGCTCCTTGCAGAGCAGCGCCAAGACAGACTGGTGGCAGCTGGCCTTGGTTTCTGGCATGACCTCTTGAGGCAACTATAAACACAGCATCTGTGGATTGCTTGCTGAATCTTAACAAGTGGCCCCAGAGGGGCACAGGCTGAGGCTAAGTTTGGCCTGTCACTGAACCCCTCTCAGGACTGTGCCATTGGACACCTACTACACAAATCCACACTAATAAGACCAAGATACTTAGGAGCTTTGCTTAGCACGTAGAAACAGACATGAAAAGGCAGCCAAAATGGGAAGACAAAGAAGCAGAAACCATATGAGAGAAAAGAGCAGAGAACAAGAAATAATGGAGTCAAGCAATCTAATGGATGCAGAGTTCAAAACACTGGTTATAAAGATGCTCAATGAACTTCCAGGAAGTGTAGGTGAATTCAGTGAGAACTTCAACAAAGAGATTAAAAATAAATAAATAAATAAAATAAAAATGGAAATGGAAATTATAAAAAGGAGCCAGTCAGAAACGAAGAACACATTATCTGAGATGAAGAGTATATTAGAGGGAATAAACAGAGTGGATAAAGAAGAGAATCGAATCACCAGCATAGAAGATGGGGAAGCCAAGGACAATCAATCAGAATGGCAAGAAAAAAGAAGCCAAGACTATAACAATAATTTAGAGAACCTATAGGACACTATTAAATGTGAAAATATCCATGTCATAGGGGTACTAGGAAGAAAAAAAAAAGACATTGAAGAGCTATTTGAAGAAATAATGATGGAAAACATACCTAATCTGGTAAAGGAAATAGACATACAACCCCATGAAACTCAGAGAGTCCCAAAAACCAGAAATCAAAAGGGGCCCACACCAAGACACATCATAATTAAAATGCCAAAGGTTAAATACGAAGAGAGAATCTTAAAAGCAGCAAGAGAAAAGCAGTTAATTACCTACAAGAGAGCACCCATAAGACTGGCAGCTGATTTCTCAAAAGAAACTATGCAGGACAGATAGGTCTGGCACAAAATATTCAATGTGATGAAAACCCAGGGTCTGCAACCAAGAATACTTTAACCAGCAAATCTATCATTTAGAGTTGAAGGACAGATCAAGGGCTTCCGAGACAATAAGCTAAGGGAATTTATCACCACCACGCCAGTATTACAGGAAATGTTGGAGGGACTTCTTTAAGAAGAAAAAACATGTCGACAAAACAGGAATAAAGAATGGTAATAACTATTATATTCTTATCAACAATACCTCAAATGGAAAAGAATTAAGTGCTCTAACCAAAAGATTGAGTGGCTGAATGGATAAGAAAATAAGATCCCTTCAGATAAAAAGACACACACAGACTAAAAGGAAGGGGATGGAAAAAGATATTGCTTTGATGGACCTAGAGGGTATTGCGCTGAATGAAATAGGTTGGATAAAGAAAGACAAATATCACATGATTTCACATACATGTGGACTCTAAAGAACAAAATCAACAACACAACAAAAGTGAAATAAACTCATAGATACAGAGACTGTTTAGGTGGATATTAGATGGGAGGGGGATTGGAGGGAGAAAGGCAAAGAGATTAAGAGGTACAAATGAATAGTTGCAGAACAGACATGGAGATGTAGAGTGTAATGTGGGAAAGATGGTTAATAATGTTGTAACAAATATGTAAGGAGGAAGACGGGTACTAGATTTAGTGGGGTGATCACTTTGTGAGTTACATGGATCTCTGATCAGTATGCTATACAACTGAAACTGGTATGTTATTGTGTGCCAACTATAATTGAAAAAAAAACCTCATTGAATTGTATAATGTAAATATAAGCAACTGATTGTCTATTATATTTCAATAAAGCTGGGGTGGGGGAGCTATTTTCTTAATATATAAAACATTTTACACCAAAAAGTAGTGTCATGCTTAATGGGGAACAAAACAAGAATGTACATTCTTACCATTGTTTAATAACAGTCCAAAGGTACAGGCCCAGAAATTAATTAAGAGAAAGAAACAAGGATAGAAAAATAGTTGAGGAAAAGTACAAATTTTTATTATTTTCAAACCTGTAAAATGCATGAGAATCAACTGAAAATCATTACAAATAATAAGATCATTCATTTATAGACTTTTATACATTATGATAGCAATTTAAAAATACAAGGGAAGAAAAGATTTCATTTACAAATGCAGGAAAAAAAAGGGAAAGTTAAAGAATTAGAAATAAACAGAATCAGAATGTGCAAGACCTTTATAAAGGAAATTCTAAAATATTCCTGAGGAAAACAAATGGAGACTTGAACAAGTATTTGGAACCTCGTTCTTGGATAGGAAGTCTCAGTGTCATATACAATAATGACTAACGTTGACTAAGCATTTACTACGTACCAGACACTCTTCTAAGTATTTTACTGAAGTATAACTTATAAAAAATGTAAATTACCTCCAAATTAATCAGCAAATTTAACATGATTGAATTCCATACATTATTCATATACTACCTATTCAAAAATAAGATTTAATTTAAAAACCTCAATTTCAATAATCCAAGCTGACAACATTAAAAAGATCATCCAAGATTCTCAAAGCTCTTAAATAAGGAAGAGGGAGTGCAAGAAGTGTAGGTCGGATTTTTGACTCTCACCAGAAGGCATTTTCTCTGCCCAAGACTAAGACAATCACCCCTCAGTACCTCATTTTTCCACAGGATGACTCGCCAGCCTCAGGTTGCCCCCAAAAGTCTCCAGAGAAAGGCTAGAATCTCCACAAAGACTGACTTGACATACACACCGAAGGGGTTCAGAACAAGTTCTCCCCAGAATGTTCCACTTTGGCATGCAGACTACTGTAGGCTAAAAATAATCAAGGCCCCAAAACTTCAGGAATAGTTTCCTTTTTTTTTTAACTGCCCCTTTAACTGCCTAAAGAATTTAGATAGAGGTCCTGGTCTAGGAAGACAGCTATCACCAAAGGTAACTGCAAAGAATATGGGCTAAGTGTGGTGGGCTTTGGGGGAGCTCAGCAGGGCCTGGAGATCAAAATTCTCTCTGTATCCTCTAATTGTGAGGCTCAATTGCCTGACTGCCTGTAGGTCTCGTATTCTTATGGGGCCCCCATACATACATAATTAAATTTGTTTTTCTATTCTTAATTTGTCTTATGTCGATTTAATTAATAGACCAGCCAAAAGGACCTAGGAGAGTAGAAAAATTTTCCTCCCCTACAGCACAAAGCTCTGCTAGGAAAATTATTTTTCCAACCTTGTATCTTGGAAGGACTTACAGCTCAGGCCATTTAACACAAGAGAGAAAGTAAAGTCTGTACAAACGTGGGCTAGATTGTGGCTTCTTTAGGCACCCCTGTTCTCTGGGTTACCCCTACCCGAGCCTCCCAGAGCTCCCTGTTGCTACATCATCTCATTCATCATGACGATAAGCCCACAGTTGATCTAGGCTTCCCAGAGGCAATTTCTTCTTTGGAGACCTCATCACACAATGATATCATATAAACTGAGTAAGGCAAGCAAGATGACAAAATGGGGTTCCTACCTGACATGGCACCCAGGAGAACCAGGAAAAGGGCTGCTCCCTGCATATTGAGAGTTGACCTCTGTGCACTCTTCTAACAAATTATCCAGGAGCTGTATCCCACCTTTTATAAGTATATTTCAGAAAAGTGTATTTCAGATGCCACTCATCTTGCCCTCCTAGTTTTGTTGCCATGCAAGAAATCAAACAGAGGCTTGGTGGTAACTAAGGGAGACTTTAAACACCACAGGACTGTTTGTTCTTTGGTTACCTGCTTCCATGACCACATGGTACTCTGTCAGCTCTGAGTCCATCTTAAAATTTCACACCTATTATGAGGACAGAGAGCCCCCCAAAAGAAGCAAAGACCAAAGAAAGAACAGAGATGATAGTAAAAGCTGGACATAAGCATATTCATCCATGATAATCTCAATCACTCTGTCACCAGGTATTTTGTCTTTCTCGGACGCAGAGGTAGGGAAGTGGGAATTTTTCTGCTGACTGAATTGATGAGTCAGACTCAGAGATGGAGCCAGACCCCTCCTCAAGGTGGCGATAGACACTGCCCTTTGACTCTACCCATCGCTGCTGCCGCTCCAGTCCTCAGAGAAGTCTGTGGAGGAGTATTATTGGAGGAGTGAGGCTTCTGCCCACTGGGCAGTGATGTGGCCCATCCCTCAGAGGCAGGTGCTGTGCCAAATGGTGCTTTCATGTCTCATGCAGCCCGGTGCCAGGCTACAAGGCCTGGTGAGTGACTCAGCTGGGCTTGGGTCCAGCCTCCATTCATAGAAAAAGCAATGGCAGCACAGATGGTGGTGGAGCAGTCTGCCTTGACGTGGTACAGTAAGAACAGTAGTGGATACAGTGGAAGGAAGCTGGACTTGGACCCTCTGTCCTGCTCCTTTCACCTGAGAACTTCCCATGGTGGAAGGGGAACCCTACAGCCCAAGGTTAGTGACAGGCAGGGGTTGGGGACATAGAGCCAGATCCTCTCCATCAGGGCCATGTGCAGTGAAAGTTCCCGCAGAAGCTCTAAAGACCAGATGTGCCCCCACAAGCAAACCAGCATTTAGCCACCGTTGGCCATTTAGTCAGTATGAGCCCTGGAGAGAGACAGCAATGAAAGTCAGGAAATAAGACTTAAGTCGACTCTGAGATGGAAGTCGTAAAAACTATGATGGACCACGAAAGTGACCAGTAAACAAGATATTGAGGGAGATTTAACAGAGGCAGCTGAAAACGATGACTGGAGGAAAAACAAAACCATTTCAGTTTATATGCCTCTGAATTGAGACTAAGTGAGCTGGTTATAGACCCTTCTGAGCACAAGGGAAATAAGGCTTAGAGAGGTTTTAGTGACTTGTCCCAGGTCAAGCTGCTAGTCAGTGGCCAAGCTGGGGCTCAGTGTCTCCTGTTTCCCAAACCTGGGCAGTAAGGCTGCCTTCCTTCCCCTCCCATTGCATCCAAGCCCTTGGCAGACCTCTTCTAGCCTCCACAGTGCCACCTGCAGCCTTTTGCTGTCACCACTCTGGCTAAGGTCCTGGCCTCTGGCCTGGACTGTCTCAGTAGCATCCGATGCATCCTACAGAAAACTGTCAGGTTAATTTCCCAAAAGCACAATTTTGATCACTCTCTTGCCTGCTAAAATAACAAGCAATACTTTTCTTAGGAAACCAGGAAGTAAGATTAAGTCTGTAGGTTTCTGTGTGAGGTAGGTTAGATGGCAAAAAGCATAGGTTTTGCTGTGTAACCTTAGGCAAATTACCTAACCTTTCAGAATCTCAGTTATGCTTCTATAAATCAGGGATAACGATTCCTGCCATGGAGGATTATTGCAAGCAGTACATAAGATAATGAAGTGAAAGAGCCTGACCCATAATATGGGCTCTAGCAATACTATTTTTTTCCTAATACAATATCTATAGGACCATGGCAAAGGCTGAAACACAGTAGGTACTCAATAAACACAGTAGGTACTCAATAAACACGGGGTGAAAAAACAGATGAATAAACAGTTGCCAAGTTACCAATTCTCACCTCTCAGTTTTTCCTGTCATATTAGTTACTGTAAATAATCCATTTCATTATGCATAATTACAGCTGAAGTGATGGCTCAGATTAAGTTATGGAAAACGTCAGAATAATTAAGCCTTTGAATTAAAGAAACTCACATCTGTTTAATTTTCAGCCCGACTGCACAGTGTTCTTCATGCTGCCGTTTCACCAGGGTAGGGCGAGTCTCCCCTTCCATCGCCTTCCTGGTCCAGAGATCCTAACGGTCATAGTCTGAAATTTGTTGTGGGCTTTCACTCCTACAGCTTCTGTTTCCAGCCCAGAGGTTGTTTCTGCCATTATGATGTTCCGTTGTCCATTTGTCAGCACCCATCTCTTTCTGAAAGCACGTGGTCCCGGCACCAAGGACCCAGCTGGGCCAGAATCACACAGAGGCTGAACAGGACACTGAGGCACTAGCTATGCCTTGATCTCTTATTACTGACCTCTAGCACCCTAGTTTCTACCGGGGGCCTAGCCAGGTGAGATGAATGGGGTGGCTCAAAGGCAGGGCTGGAAACTCTAGGGAAGGCACCTCACCAGCTTTACATAAAAGACCTGGAGAGCCTTCTCCTACATCGTGTCTGGCCCAGCAGCGATTCAGGTCCTTAAAGTATTTAAAGGGACTTACCTGAAATCCAGCTACGGCAAGTGTCTAATTTATGAGCAAAGGAGTTGTGCTCTAAACATTCGTTGACTTAGAACTTGGAATACACTTTCCTGTGGATGCGTTGTTCACAGCCTACAAACTCTTACATGATCTATTATGTACTTGAAACTTTATGGACTTGAGAAGTAGAAGAGCTGCTGTGAATATTCAATTAGGTTCAGCTTCTTTAGTAGGTCCGTGGGCATTGCAGGGCTGGCCAGCAAACCTGGTCACCTTTATATCTGTGAGGAAGCTCTGTTTATGGTTCCCATTTGTACAGTACTGGAACTATAGGCTTCAGGACCCCAAACCCTAGGACACAGTACCTAGGTTCCAGCATTCAAGCAGCCCTACATCACAGGCGCCCCTTAGGAACAGAGCTAGGCCTACACTCACAGCGATGGCAGCCATGTGATGACACGGAGCGTCTAGTAGGAATAGAAACGAGCTCTTTCTGTGTCTGCTTTGCGGGCCTGTACTCACAGGCTCACTGCGTTAACATCGCACCCACAGCTCTCTCACGCGTCTGTCTTCAGCCAGGCTCAGCAAGCTTTTCCAGGTCAGGGAAGCTCTTATACTTCTTTGTATCCCAATTGCTTCACATGCAACACTCTACCAGATGCATAGCTAGTGCTCAAAAAATGGTGGAATTAATAAATTTACTTTATATACCCGTGCCCTGTGCCATTCTCTCCCTCCTCCAAACACTCCTCCAGTGAGAGCCCCTCAGCTCTTGTGGGAAAGGAAACAAAGAAGGTCCACAGTCCCCCTCACTTCTGGAAGCCCAGGAGCACTCACTCTGACTAGCCCTGAGGATCACGAGAGGGGCCCTCTGACACCAAGGCCCTGGAGCTGCCCTGTACCCTCCGGGTTTTTAGCTGAGACCCTTGTAGTAAGAGACAGATTAACAAGTGAAAAACAAACAGAAGTGTATTAACACACATACCTCATGTAAACACGGGAGAGACCCAGGGGAAAATGAGTAACTCCTGGGTCTTAGAATTGAGGCTTGAATGCCATCTTAATAGGGAAAGGGGAGGGAATAGGAAAGAGAACGAGCCCTCAGAAGAATAGATGGGATGTGTGATAGATGGTGACAACGTTTGTCTGGGTGTGATATCCACTAATAATCTCCTTTCCTGTGATAATGGTCAATCTTCCTTGGTTGATAAAATTCCCAGGCAGGGCATTTAGGACAATTGGGTTCCTTTTTGGGAGATCTGTCTTTAGGCAGATGAAGGAATTCAGAGAAAGTGTCTCCTTGCATTTGCTGTTTTATAAATGCCCTCAGCTCAAAATTATCAATACACTGAAGCATCATATTCTGGAGTATCATGTCTAAACTCCTACAGTTGTATTTTGGGGTGACATATTCTGCTATTTTTCAGCCCTCAGGATCCACTGGCGGGGCTCCTTCCCTGGCTTCAGGGGTGGATAAGTGAATAAGCATGGTTTCCCCAGGGGTTGACACTGAATGACTCCAGGGGACAGAACTCTGGGAGCCTAAGATGATGGTGAGCATGGGCCTGAGCTCAGTTCAAGCCTCAAAAAAACTCCAGATTATTCTTACTTTTAATAACGGCTTTACTGAGATATAATGCATATACTATACAATGCACCTACTTAAAGTTTACAGTTCAGTGAGGATTTTTTTTAGTGTATTCAGAATTGTGCAACTGTCGCCATAATCAATTTTAGAACATTTTCATCACCCTACATCCCTTAACAGTCCCATGTCCCTCCAACTCCCTCCCACAGCCCCTGGCAACGACTAATCTACTTTCTGTCTCTCTAGATTTCTCTATATTGGACATTTCATATAAGTTGAATTATACAATATGTGGTCTTTTTGACACTTCTTTCATTTAGCATAATGTTTTCATGGTTCATCCATTGTAGCATGAGTGAGTAATTCATTTATTTTTATTGCCAAATAAAGATATTGTATGGATATCCCACATTTAATTCGTTCATTCATCAATAATGGACATTTGGGTTTTTTCCTACTTTTTGGCTATTCTGAATAATACTGCTGTGAACATCGCTATGCAAGTTTTTTCATGAACATGTTTTTATGTTCTTGGGTAAATACCTAGAAGTGTTGCTGGATCATACAGTAACTCTTCTAGATCATTTTTTTTCTGGGGTTGGTTTTCACACTTTTATTGGGGGCTCCAAGGGGAAGAGTCTCCTCTCTGTCAACAGAGATGCTCATAGTCTCTTTAGCCACTCCAAACTTGGGTATTGGGGGTCCTGGAGTGGCTGGCACATGGGCACATTCCCATCATCCCGGAGGGCACTGTGTAGTTTGTAGGGCGTGGCCTGGTTGATCATAGTGGCATGATTGGTGTAAGGGCTGAGTGGGGCATAATTATATCTGGGCCCTCGATGATGAAAGACACGACCAACACTGGCTCCTTGGCCCAGGCATTATTGAGAAAGGCAGCAATTCTCACTGCCATCTTGGTCTCTGTCTTGTACCCTAAAAACATTGTTAACAATAGTGGGAGGAGAGCAGCAGCCGCAGTAAATGACTAATACGTGTATGTTACTTTATATATAAAGAAAACACACTCCACTTTCCTCTGACTGGCTCCTTTTCAACTTGCACAT